TAAATGAGTATAAATTGGTTTAAGGATGTGTACTAGAGTTAAGAATAAAAAAGGGGATTAAACATGAAGGATTTAATCCAAATGAATGAACTTTCAGGTTCAAAAAGAGAATTCTGGGCAGAGTGCACCGATGCACATTCATGGTGCATCGATGCATCAAGGTTAAAACCCAAAAATTATATGAATGTGCATCGATGCATTGGTAGTGCATCGATGCACTATTTTAAAATAAAGACATCGAATGCAATTCGTGCATCGATGCATAAGTAGTGCATCGATGCATCCCATTAATAGTGAAACATCGAATGCAATCGGTGCATCGATGCATAAGGAGTGCATCGATGCATCCCAACAATAATACTACATCGAATACCTTTGATGCACCGATGCATCAGTAGTGCATCGATGCATACCTTCATTAAAAGATGAAATTGACTTTTCTCTTAGTCTAAAGAGTGAACCATTAGAGTATATTAGTTATAATACTGATATACATCCATGTGTGATTATGTAGATACTAAAAGTAAGCTTATTCCGGAACGATCAAAGGATTAGAATCGAAACAAAGCAAAGCTAAGGTGAGTGCATACTAGATGTATATTATAATGGAATAAGAGTTGTGATAAGTCTAATCCCTATGTTGATTTTTATAATATAATAGTTGTGAACATGCATACATGATAATTGTTGTTATACATACATAAGACATATATATGTTCATGTGATATGATATGTGATATGACATGTAATATGAGAACATGATATGAAGTGACATGAGCTACATGATCACAAGAGAAATGACAGAAGTATATGAACATATGAAAAATAAGAATAATGCCCATAGTATACGATATGAGAACTATAGGTGTAGTTGGCATGCCAAGAGTCGAGGGTATAATAGTCCTTCGGGATGTAGTCCTTCGGGATGTAGTCCTTCGGGATGTAATGGTCCTACGGGACATAGATAATAGTCCTACGGGATGAATACTGAACTAAGGTTCGGTGCCCCATGAGGGAATTGATACGAGCTGTGGTGACAGCATTAGTACACAACCTCAATGTACTCACATACCTCTATTCTCAATAATATACATGGGCAATGCAATTGAAATACCGATTTACAGTGAAAGTGATACAAGAAGGTAAGTTTCGTATGTGCATTATATGATTATATATGTTATCATGTGATAAATAAATGCACATTGAAATGTCATGATCCAATGGTAAGTATGAACATTCATAAGTTTATCGTTGCATATTCATTTATTGCCTCACTAAGTCTATGACTTAGCGTGTAAGTGATTTACACGTAGGTACCAAGAATCAGGAAGAGTGGAAATAGAAGTAGCACAGGCAGCAATACTACTAAGAGATCAGATCAGAAGTAAATTGACAAAGTATGTACTAGATTATGTATAGAGTGTTGGTATGTAATAAGTGTTAATTACGAATACTCTGATCGATTTTGTATTTTATGGTCTTATGTAAATTAATGTATTTCGTTTTAATGAAAGTTTTAAAAATTCCCGGGATTTTCTGTAAGAGTCAAAGATTTGAAAAGTCAATGTGACACCTCGGACTTGTATTCGGGTCGGATATGAGTTAAGGGTGTTACATTTGTTGCTTTTCCATTTCATATTTCTTTTGTCTAACGCGGGATGAGATATCACTGAAACAGTCTTTATTAAGGTTTTTTTAGATTGGCTTTAAGGCTCTTTAGCTTTAGAAAAAGAGTCTTCATTGGATTGCCTTGAAATGCCGGATGCCAAGATTGACTAACTACATTTAAGAACTTTAGATAAAGAGTCCAACAGTTAAAAAATTTAAAAGGCTTGGGTCTGTTAGTTTGTACCTCTTTGTTTAGCACAACCAGTGTCATACAGTTATTAGAAGGTCCAGGTGTCAGGAATTCCATAAAAGAGTTATGGAATGATTCAAACCACATGGGGTTGATAAGCACCCTGTCAAGTTTTCGAGAAAGAAAATTGTCTTTTTGTTTGTTTCTCCATGAATAAGTAGGACCAAAGAAAGGGTGATCATGAAGTTGAAGGTTTTAAATGACTCCTTGAAAATCTTTCATGTCTGAAGTAGAGATCAGTCCCAAGTGCTTGTGGTCAGAGCTTTCATTCGGATGCAATATGACATTATAATCCCCTCCCATGATCCAAGGGAAATTACATAAATTAGAATCCAGATCACGGAGTTCCTGTCAGAGTTGTCTTCTGGTAATACCATTATTACTACCATAAATCACAGTAACGATCAGAGGAACATCATTGAAAAATACTTTAACATAAATACTCTGGGCCGAAGCATGACATAGGGAAATATCCAAACCATTTTTCCACAGAATCCAAATCCTTTCATTCACAAAATAATCATAGTTAGTACATTCATTCCAATTCTCAAATCTAATAATGAATAATTCAGCTGATTTTTCAACTTTTACTCGAGTCTCCAGTAAGCAAAGTACATCTACATTATTTTGAGTAGCCCTTCAGAGGACTTTACCTTGTTTTAGAGGATTGTTTAATCCTATAACATTCCAAAAGGAAATAATCATTGTCCTTGATATGGGAAGCCCATGTCACCCCTTTTACTTCCTACTGAAAAACTCTTAGCTTTATCTAAGTGAACCTTCTTTTTTATTTTGAGTTCTTTAATCAAATCTGCAACACCAGAGGCAGCAGCTCTTGCTTTCTACCCTGACTCTCTGAGGAAGGATGAATCTTATCCAATGAATTGAGAATTTCAAATATGTTTTTGGATCCTGCTAAAGCCACTTTGGATTTGTCTTTTGCTGGCATTCCTCTATCCCGTTTAGGAGGTGAATGATGATCTTTTCCTCTATCAGCATAATCTGGAGGAACAGATAGGTAGGAATCACCTTCAACATTATGATCAGTAGCTTCTAAACTAACTTCTTTGGGTAGATGAATATCAGAATTCGAGAGATCTCCCTCGGCAGCTAATTCATTAGCAGAAGATTGAATTTCAGAGGCTAATTCCCTTCCAGTACCAGTCTCCTTAGTGATTAGTTCATTTATAAGATCTGTACCAACTGACTTTAAATCCTGTAAGCCTTCATTACCTCCAGCATCTTAGACCACTGAGGTAGTGATGTTTTGTTCCTTTTTCCTCCATACTTGAGTAGTAGCATGAGAAGTCTTTGACTTATCCTTGCATCATTTTTCACTATGGCAAAAAATATTGCAATTTCTATAGCAAGATGGAAGCCAAGGTACTTATACAACTATCGAGATAGCTTGACCATTGTTTAGGACAATATCAACAAACTTAGGGATTTCCTCATTTACCCCTGTTTCGACACATATTTTTGCTTATTATAATCTTGATGTAGAGGTTGTGATAGAATCCATTGAAAAGGGAATACCTATGGCACTTGCAATGTAACTAAGCCTTTCACGCAAGAAAAGTTCAAGAGGAACATTATATAGGTGAACCCAGATTAGAATTCCAGATAAGTTAAAATTATGCTTTTTCATGTTCGGTTCCCATTTCCTAAGGATCAATGGTTGAAAGAAAATAAGTAGAGATTATTGCCTGCGTGACTGACCTGAACGTGAGCTCCTTGCAAAGACTTTTCCACAAATTTTCAATGATCCTTTGCATTGAGATAAAATTGGGAGCAGCCCCAAGAAATTGTCCCACTAGTGAGAGTTTCCATTATGCTATTCCAGCTTCAAATACTTCAGGCGGAGGTTGAAGGAGCGGAATCCCCTCTCGCGATTTTGGGGGAAAGTACTGTAACTGTTGCCCAGCTGAACATGAGAACAATTTACGCCAATCCATCAGACTCTCGAGCGAAACTATTAAAGAAAAAGTTGTAGACTGAAGAAACAATCGGAGAAGAAATCGATCGGCTCGCTAGAGACACAACGGATTTCTCAGTTTCCATTAGTCATGCTAACGTGCACCTAGAGAAAACCATAATCGTGTGCCGTCATTTCTTTTTTTTCTTTCTTTCTTTTTCTTTTTTAATGTTTCAGTCATTCAATAATAAATTTTTGATTTATTATAAAATAAATATTATGTCGTTAATTACCATTAATCGTAATTAAAAGATGATATTATATATTAAATTTATAATTAATATTTTATTTGATCCTTCAATTACAATTACAATTACAATTTTATTTTATTTTAATATTTTTCAATAATTTTATATAATAATTTTATAAATATAATCTTTACAAATCATAAAATATTAACAAAATCCTTTATTTTATTCATTATTTACACTTTCACCGTGTTACAATATTGAAAATTTTTTACATTAGTAGTTCTGTTAATTTTTTTATGTTAGATAATTAAAATAAAATCAAAACAAAACGTGAAATATGATAAAAAAATATAGTTGACTGACTAAACTGAAATAAAAGTGATAGTTGAATATTAGTTTATCCAACAAAATTTGATGGGAATTAGTTAGCTCTGATTCGATAAATCCAGTTGAAAATAGCGTAGTACATGGTAACACCGAGTTAATAAATTCCTTAACCAAGAGTTTTGTGGACAAAATTTGCAACGGTGTGACAGAAATAACATACCGGAGGGCGAATACTGATTTTGTTGTTCTAATACCTTGAAATCAAGGTCGTGATACAAGGCAAAGCCACTTTGTCTAGGGTTGATCTTTCTGTTCGTGACAAAGACTTCTTGCTCTTTCCCAGAATCATTTGGAAGTTCTTTTTTTGGTTATAAATTTGTTTCAAAATTCTCTCTATATTGTGTATATACATGCCTATTTTCTTTGACATGTTATAAATTGCATGATAGGCATCAAGTTGAATTTTTCCCTTTCATCTTATTTTAGCTTTTTCATCCTTTACTTTCCCTTGATGACAGATATCTCCACTTGTTAGATCAATGTACAGTTGCTTGTCATTATTCTGGCAAAGCCACTTTTCTATTCAAACAATGAACTAAATTTTCAGTATCAAAGCCTGGAACCAATCCATTTGAAAATATTTAAGACAGAAGAAAATTCATTTGTAATTGGAAACCCAACAAAGAACTACATCTTTATAATAATGCTAACAAACTCTTTATTTCTATCACATTCATTGACTTTATGCAAATCGGCTAACGGCGTTTGAATTTAGAAGTTTGGACCAGCTGCCAGGATCTCCTCAGTCAGCTTGTTGTCTTTGCCAATCTTGTAATTGGTGAAAGTCTCAAAGTTGTTCTTGAACAGTCCAGCCAATTTCAACAGTGTCTCCTTGTAAGCCTTCTTGTCAGCCCACTGTAATACAATACCCATATACATCAAACTTCCAAGGTAAAATCCGAGTAACATATGGTTGAAGAAGGGACAACTTACGGTGTTCTCAGGATGCAAGATTTCAGAAGGCACTCCCTCGATCTCGGTGGGGATCTCTAGCCCAAACACCTCGGTTCTCCGGTAAGTTGCCTTCAAGAGGCTACCAGAATGAATGGCATCAATGATTTTTCGAGTGTATGGTAACTTGATACGGTTTCCAGACCCGTAGCTGCAGAAAAGCCGATGGTGATTGATAAAACCATTCCAGCAAATATGTTAAATGATACAAACGCTTGTAATGCACTGTTGTTACCTTCCACCAGACCAGCCTGTGTTGACAAGCCACCCTGTTGCCCCATGCTTCTGCATTTTCTCAGCAAGCATGGCAGCATACTTGGTTGGATGCAACATGATAAATGCTGCGCCAAAGCAAGCAGAGAATGTTGCTGTTGGCTCCTTAATACCATCTTCTGTGCCTGCCACCTATACATCATCGAACAAGTTCAGCAATCACAAGAACCAGACGCCTCTAAAATACATAGCACAAAGACATAGAAACATACCAAAGCCGTGTAGCCGCTGATGAAATGGTACATGGTTTGAGCCAGACTCAGCTTGCTCACAGGTGGAAGGACACCGAAGGCATCACATGCCAAAAGTATGACATTTTTGGGGTGTGGACCAACACATGGTATCTTAGCATTGGGAATGTATTCAATCGGGTAGGCTGCACGAGTGTTCTCTGCAAGCAAAGAAAAATTAATATTAAAGATTACGCGTATCGTGTAACTCATATTATTCTATTATAACTTGGCCGACATCAGGGAATTTGGCGCTCAAAACTTATTTAATCTTGTGCTTTCAATTATTCTAATCTTCCATTTGGCACTTTTTTTAAACTAAAATTGAATTGAGAATGTCAACCATGTTCACTTCTATCTTCTTCATCAAAAGAACCCATTAGATTAATCAGAAAAACTAAACGTGAAGGAAATTTTCTTCATAAACAACTAAACTAAGTCAGATATGTCTCATGATGACTCAGACATTGTTCTTATCCATCGGCCACTTTATTATCGAGTCAAGCCACACACTGATGTAAACAAAGATTACCAGATTTTGATAATATACGTACCTGTAACAGATTTATCGCTGTAATCCACCTCTCTTGTATGTTCATCAAAAACTACATTTTCCAACACTACAGAAAGAATTCGAAAGATCAAACCGAGCATTACAATTGTTTTCAGGTAGTTTGATCAAAGACTGGAGAGGGGCATAGAATTTTACCGGTGCCAAATTTAATAGCATTCCAGATATCAGGCTCCTTCTCCCTTGAAAGATCGATGCACTTAGCATAACAACCACCTTCAATGTTTGACACACCATTGTCACTCCAGCAGTGCTCATCATCTCCGATCAGATACCTGTTGTGATCGGTAGACAGTGTGGTCTTACCAGTACCTGTTTAAAAAACATTGAGGTAAACACATTAGCAACGATGCCAAGTGAAAGTAATAAAAAGGACGTGCATCTCCTTTCACAAGATCAAAGTTTGGAGAACACGTATCGGTTGTGGACTAGAACCGCATTGTGACCTTGACCAATGATACTATACCTGACAATCCAAAGAAGAGGGCAACATCTCCATCTTTCCCCATATTGCAGCCAGAATGTAAGGAGAGGATTTGACGCTTAGGCATGAGATAATGCATGACACCGAAAAGACCCTTCTTCATTTCCCCGGCGTACTGGGTGCCGAGGATGACCATCTCACTCCTAGCAAGATTAAGGTCTATGCTAGTGGAGGATGTCATGTAGTGTGTATAACGATTACACGGGAACTGTCCGGCATTGTATATAGTGAAGTCCGGAGTACCGAAATTCTCCAGCTCTTCAGGAGTGGGTCGGATACACCTGCCACCCACCCAATTATCCAATTGTACACTAAGCTTTTACCATTTTTATTTATCTTACTGCCTCATATGGAATTCTATAGGGATGATAGAACTCAACACATGATACATATATAATTAACATTACGACATCGATAAAGAGACTTATCTGGGATAGGCTAAGACCTGTGAAACAAAAAAGAAGGATGAAACACTCATTTTTTACTCACATGTTGTGCATGAACAAAGAATGATAAGCTCTAGCAGAGACAATCCGGACTTTGATTCTGTTCTTTGGATCCCAGTTCAAGAATTGATCGTTCACGAAAACCTGTAACCATTTACATCATATTAGCATAAATTAGATGGTATTCAAGTAAATGACTGCGCATATTATATAAAGCAGAGGATATATTATATTTTCCCCCTGCCTCAAAAGTAAAGCAGGCAGGGAATGTCAGAACCAATGGAAATGGCCCCACAAAACCTTATCTCCGGTATGCAACTCCCTAAGATAAGGACAATAAAAATTTAGTCATGCAAGGACAAAGTTGCTTCTCCCAACGGGAAAAGATATCCCTAGGTGAAGTTGTTGAACTAAAAGACGAAAATGATACCATATGACCATAAAAAAGATAAAAACCCCATATGCACATCATCTTTCAAAACCAAATTTACTATGATACCCTTTCGAGAGAGTTTAAACAAAAGATTTATGTAAAGATATTTCACCTTGTCCAGAGAATTCAAGTAATCGACAGCTCTTTCTCTGTTCACCAAGAAGGTATGCTCATCCATTTCAATGTTGGGTGAGCCCCTGGAATCCCCGGATCATTAATTTTTTTTAAGTGTGTATTGAATGAACAAGCACAAAATGTTTTTCCATATGTCAAAAATATTGTACATACACACTTACTTTCCCCACCAAAGCTCGTCTTGGGTGGTGTCGTCGATAACAACCCTCTTATCTCTAGGGGCCCTCCCGGTCTTAGCTCCTGATAGGGTGGCTAGAGCACCGGTTGCTGTAATGAAAGAGCCCTTTTCGTACATTATCGCCTGCTCGTACAACTCTGCAGGAGAGAGGTTGTATAGGACATGAGTGAATTTCAAGGAACTGTCGCTGACGCTGATGGTTGGTACCTCCACATGGTGGTGGTGCGACACATGCGCCACCGGCTGAACTTTCCCTGCCGGATCTCCTCGCACCAATTTCGGCCCTGTCCCTCGAGTCAGTGACGCCAAAGATGCACTGCGCAAAAAAATTCATGAATATTACCAAGAAAGAAAATAACAGTTTTATAATTGTTAAGATTATAAACTTTTAATCTTCTTAAAGTAATAAATCATCCATTATCTTTCCATGTGATTCTTGCAAACCAAGCAAGAGCGAGGAAACTCATTGGTTTCACATGGGCCCCGCATCAAATTTATCAGTTTCAATCTTCCACCGTCTTATCATCCCCGCGTCTAAAGGGGTCCACTTCCAAGGAATTTATATTTTATTTCATTAGTTATTAAATTGTTGCTTTATTCAAGTTATTGATGGGAGTTTTTTTTTTACAGCTGTGCAGCACGTTTACCTGATGGACTGAAGCTGCTGGCGCTGGCGCTCATCTTCGGACATTGTGGCAAAAGTTCCCTGGGCGCCATCGAGAGGCGTTGTCGGAGCGGATCTCTTCTTCTGCAAAGAGTGAAGCTCGTCAATCGTCTGAGCCTTAACAGGCTTCCCACTATCATCGTGACAGATTCCGTTCTTATGCGTCAAAATCCTCGCCAGAGGACTCTTTGGCGCGGTCGACACTCCGTTTCCGTTTGCCGCCATATCTTCACCTGAAATCAAAATGATAAGAATAGTTTTTTTAGAACTATCTCCCCAGCATAACGTTGTTTTAACCGATGTTTGCTGTTATCCAAAGAAACCGAAACCCAAGGCTCTGACGTTAAAAAAACCAGAGCTTAACAGTTGAAACTTTTAGAACAAAACAAAGCTTAAGGTACAAAAAAAAGATAATATAATATAAATACCAGAGATTCAGGGAGCTGGCAAAGAAGAAATGCGAAAGGAAGATGAAAGAAATTGAAAGCTTAATGAGAAGCGAAATGGATCATTCAAAGTCGAAGTTGGACACAACATAAGAGAAAACGAGAAGGGATGATGAGAAATGGGGGAGGGAGTCCAATTTAAAGGGTTGGGGGAAGGAGTTAACTAGAGGAAAGAGTTAAAAATAGTTAACCATGGTTAAATCCTATCTATCTATTCTCTTTCCTAGATTAGAGACAGGGCTGTAAAAAAGAGATCAATTCCAAAATTATATAGGCTTGTTTGGTGAAAAATCAATTGCCAAATTAGTTTTCAAATGTGTATTTGTTTCACTTACTTCGTTTTTTGAAAAATATTTTTTCATGTTTGTTTTACGTAATTTATTTTTTAAAAAATATTTTTCAGTGTTTGGTTAGAGGAAAATTGATTGGTCAACGTAAAATATTTTTCTGATCAATAGAATTTATTGTGTTTTCTGTAAAATGACTTACGGTCTAATTTTTCGTAAGTTATTTTTCGAACTTTTCACTTCAAATAATAAATATTCAAAATAATTTTATTTTATGAATTTAATATTAATAAAATATTTTAATATCATTTTAATCAAAATATTAATTTTTAAAATATTTAAAATATTTTTTTAATATTTCTAATAATATAATATTTTTAATATTATAATAAAATAATCAATTATATTATAATAATATAAGATATTATATTTTTATTTTAATAATATAAAATAAATTATTAATAAAATTTATATTATTTATTAATTTCATAGAAATAATATTATTAAATTATTAATAATGAATAATATTATTTATATATTTAATATTAATATAATAATATAATAATATTTTAATAAAAATATTTAAAATATAATCATTAATTTTTTTAAAATATAATATAACACTATTACTTTGATAAATAATTAATATAATTTATAATATTTTTATTTCAATAAAATATACCAATATTAATATTTTTATTAATAAAATTATAAAAATAATATTTAATAATTTAATATTTTAAAAATAATAATATTAAGTTTTATAATAAATAATATTATTTATTATATTTAATATTTGTAATGAATAAATTTTAAAAAACTCATCAACTAGTGGAAAAAAAGTTTAAACAACATTTTTCAAACATCGTAAAATGTTTTCCAGATGTTTTTCAGAAAAATGTAATTCATTTTACAGAAAACATTTTCTAGAAATGTAATTCATTTTTTCAGAATTTAAATTTCAGTAATTCATTTATCATAATTCAATTTTTAGAAAACCAATTACAGCCAAACAAATAGATCCTAAATTTATAAATAAAAATAATCTATGTAAATAAATTGATTTAATTATAAATTTTAAAAATATGTGTATAATTATATTTAATGTTATCAAATTGATTTGATCTAATTAATTAAGCGTTTATTAATATTTTAACAAGAATTAAATTGGATCTGTCTGTAATTCAGTAGGTCTCTCAAAAACTGATGTATAAAATATCTTTTTCTATAATTTATTATAATTACCATTTTTGTGAATTTCGATAATTATTTCATGTTTATTTAAATATCTAAATATGTCGTATTTTTTTGTTTGCTTTGTAATAATGACATGTCAAAGTTATCATGTCTGCACACAGACCCATAACTGGGTTTGGTTTTGTAGTCGGTTTTTCATCAGTCAAAATCTCAATTCTTGTTTGTGTCTTTAAGGTGGTTTTTGGTTGGTATGAATTTATTGAAATTAGTAGGAATTATAATTCAATTTCACTATTTTTTTCATGTTTGGTTTAAATTTTTCAAGGGAATTGGAATCCCTTATGGCTTCAACTTTCCATCAAAGGAGGGAAAGTGAATTCGATCAAATGAGGGAAAGTGAATTCCATCCAATGATGAATGGAATTCAATTCCTTTATTGGAGGGAATTGAAATTTGATTATACTACCCTCATCAATCTTTTGATAACTTATTCATATATTAAATAAAAATATTTTTTTATTATTTCGGGTCAGGTTTCTAATTCATATATTCGGGTCAGGTGAAACTTTATTTTGATCGGGTCGGGTCGATTTTTTTAAGTGTGATATTCGGGTCGGGTCGAGTTCGGGTTTAGGATGAAAAATACCCGACCCGAAAATATATATAATTTTACCTTATATATTTAGGAATAATTACAATAATACATCTCTATATATAATTTTTTTCAATTAAGTCATTGTTTTTATTGAATAAAAATAATTTTTTTATTATTTTGGGTCGGTCGAATTTCTAATTCATATATTCAGGTCGGGTAGGGTGAAACTTTATTTTGTTCGGGTCGGGTCGGGTTTTTTAAGTGTGATATTCGGGTCGGTCGGGTTCGGGTTTAGGGTAAAAAACCGGACCTAACCCAAAAAATATATATAATTTTATCTTATATATTTAGGAGTAATTACAATAATACCCCTCTATATATAATTTTTTTCAATTAAGTCAATGTTTTTATTGAATAAAATTAATTTTTTTATTATTTCGTGTCGTGTCGGGTTTCTAATTCATATATTGAATAAAAATAATTTTTGGTATATTTTTTGGTAACTAATTAGCATACTCCGATTGGAATGTATCGAAATATTGATCTATCTTTTGATAACTTATTAACATATTTTGATTGCGATAATTTTAACTTATGATGTTTATTAGCATGATTTTTATAATTTATTGAAATGAATAATCAATCAATAAAATAAAAATTTAATATTTTTTAATTTTTTATAATATATTACTACATGTACGTTGTAAAACAAACTAAAATAAAGAAAAAAAACAAGAAGTGTAATTCTGTCATTTTACATTACTGAAATCAAATTCATCTAACATGTCTGCGAACCAAACAGAATATGGAATTGGATTCCAATTCCATTTCCTGCCAACCAAACAGAATATGAAATTGGATTTCAATTCTTGACAGATTTCAATTCTTTCACATATTCCAGTTCCCTCAAAAATATTCTAACGAACCAAACGACACCTAAGATTAAAGACTGTCTAGTAGGGAAACTGAATTCCAAATACCATATTCTTTTCGATTTCGTTGACAGTATTTTAACATTAATATAATGAAATATACGAGTTGGTAAGTGTTTTGTATATAATGTTTAAAGTTTTAATTTATAAATTAAAAAATATCATATGCACTAATAGGTGGTTCGGATATCAGTTAAAGTTTATTTTTTTAGTAATATTTGATTTTCTATTGAACTTAAAATAATTAATATATTAATTGTACTTTTCAAAAGCTATGTTAACTGGTATCATTGAACAATAATTTTTTTTATATTATGCAACCCTTTATATCAAGCAATGCAAATATCATATTCTTTATTGTTTTTAGACTTTTAGTCGAGCTTCTATTTTAATTTTAACTAATTTACTTTTTATCGCAATAGAAAGTTGATAAAGATACGGCGACCTAAAACAAACGCGCCATTGCTAGAGTTTTATTTGATTTGACGAGAGCAATGAAATTGGATGATCCCTCCAACACCTGAATTTTTCCATTTATTACCATTTCAGAACAAAATATAATGGACACGAAGGTGGAAAACAACATAGACCCCACACGCGTGTATTTATTATTTATTTAATTTATATTTATCTGTATATTATGACGTGAGCAGAAGGCAATCTCATCCTAACCGTCTATTTTGCTTCAATCCAATTTAATTTCATCTTCAATTCCGGATCCCAAAAGTTACCTCGCTGTCAATTTTTGGCAATAAAAGTTAGAAGTTGAGTAAAAACACTTCGATTTATTTTTGTCTGTTAAAAAGGGTGGGGGTGTGGGGGGGAAGTGGAATCAGATTTCAAATCACTGAAGCTTTCTGCTATAATTCGGTGTCTTTTCGCCACAAGCAGAGTTCTGGAACGAGTGTTAGACTGTTTAATAAAGGTTCAATTTGACCCTTATAGTTTATATTTCTTCTTTACCCCCTAAATATTTTGTACTATTTTAGTATTTAAAGTATGTACATGTTATAATTTCTGGTTCAGAAATTAAAAGAATTCAGTCAATTACCACAAGTCACATGGCTTTTTATCAACTTATATAGATTTTTTATTGAAAAATGTAATTTAATAAAATAAAAATAAACATCATATTTTTGTTTTTCTCAAAAAATATTCCTATTGTATTGTCTTATATAAATTCAAAATTTGACGTTTATTTTTAAAATATAATAATTTTCTACTTAATTAAAAAAATAACTTTTTTATGTGTTGTCAATATCGATCTCCAGCCGTTCATTAGCTGTGTTCCTCTAGGCAATAGGTATTAAACTTGAGCATGGGCTGCATTTACCATGATTTCCTTTCAGTTATTGTCGATCCATCAATTTTTGTATTTGATTTTTTCCTCAAAAAGTTTGAGAGCTTGATGCAACTTTAAACCTAAAATTATTGATTGAATAAAAGTAATTACTTAGTCTAACGTCGATTCAGAATAAAAAAAATTAAATTATAACTTTTTTAAGTATAATGCTAAAAAAAACATTTTTTTAAATATTTGATTAAATAATCATTTTTATCTCTATTTTTTAGAATATTTTGATCTTAACATTTTATTTTAGGATCAAAAGGCGTCTAATGTTGATTAAATAGTAACTTTAGCAATTATTTTTTATTTTAGAGCATTTTGGCCTTAATATTTCATTTTAGGGTAAAAAAACTCAATTTTAGAGTGTTAACAGTTTCTTAACTAAAGATTAAACTGACTAAACCTATGTTAGTAATAAACTTAATTTTATAAATTATTTTGGTTATTTAAATTGATCTGATATAAAATTATAGGTTTAAATTTAATTAAACAATTTTTAATTGATTTAATTATATTAATTCAGGTACACATATTCAATGAATTTTCTGTAAAGTGGGATCCCCTTACTTGGAAGCCTTTTGGATTGTATCCAACACTTTTAAATATTTTTCTTTTGGTGAACAAAGGGAATTCTACTAAAACTAGACTATGTTCCTAATTCATCCTCATGAAGCAGTTTTGCCATGTCAGGAGGAAATGTGGAGATGCAGTGCACCTCCAGATCTGCTGGGTCGCCAGTTTGGCCAAATTATCTGC